GTCTCAATAATCCTGACTCTAAAATAAAAAGTAAAAAACGCTTTTAAAGCCACTCCGTATCAGAGTGCCTGGTTCAAATCCCTCTCCTTTCATTCTAGCTTTATGTTGGTTTTTATTCTGAAGGGTAACAAGTGATGCCCCAAGTGCAGTTCCAGGCTCCTGACTTTGGCCTGGTGCAGCCCTGGTTGCTAGAGCCATTTCGGGAATGAATATCTCTGTCTCTCTCTCTCTCTCTTGTTCTATAGCTCCAATTTTCAAATAAGTAAATAAATCTTAAGAAAAAGAGAAAAAAGGAAGGAAGAGAGGAAAGACATTCACCCAGCATTTAAAAATGTTCATGTTTTAAGTTGCAGTTGATTGTATTCCCGTATGGTAATGCTTTTCATCAAGTTTATAGTATTTAAAACTTTACCAAAAAAAAAAAAAACCAAAAAACAAAAAACAAAAACAAAACCTAGGTCCATTCACTTGGAAAAATACAAACTCTCTTAAGCTTGAAAGCGACTTCAGTGATGGAGGTGTCACTGAACTTTGCAGACGACAAACAAATCTAAAGAGGTCTATTACGTTAGAGACACACATGGGTTTTTCTCTGGTGAAAGTATTTGTTTTCCTCTAGGTGAAAGTGTTTGTCTGAAGTTACCAAACTAATCACCAAGAAAGCTGAGAGAGACCAGGACCTCACTGGAACGCATGGCAGAGGTTCTTCAGCAGCATCGAAAACGATTCAAGAAAGAAAGAAAACAAAAAGAAGAGAAAACCTGAGTGCCCATATTTTTCTCTAACTTCAGAGACGAAATTCAGCCCCTAAGAAAGGAAATATCAGGCTTCAAGGAGGAATCAGCAGTCCTGCTAGTTGTACAGAAGGATAGAGACTAGAGAAAGGGCAGTGCTGGTGGTAGTGGGAGGCCTCCTCAAGAGGTGATCTTTGCTTGGGTTCTAGGGACTGCTGAGGGTTGTGGAAGTTAATCATTGGTGGTGCATTCCACTACCCAACTTCCAGTGGAGTCCCATCCTGCCAGCTCCAGGGGCTTCTTGCTGCTACAGCACCTCCTGGAGGAGCCCCGCTATCTCAGGACCAGCCCACCTGCCGGGCCTGTTTTTCTCCCTTGGGAGAAAGCCAACCACACAGCCCCTGTTCTTGCTCACTCCATACGCTGGCTCTGCTCCAGGAGGCCCAGAGTTCATTCTCATGGTGGCTCCTGCTCATTCTGAGAGTTTTATATATATATATATATATATATAATATATATATATATTTTAGAAGAGATTTATTTGAAAAGTTGAATGAGACAGACAGACAGACAGACAGATCTTCCATCACTGGTTCACTCTCCATATGACCGCAATGGAGCTCGGACTGGGCCAGTCCACGCCAGGATCCAGGAACTCCATCTGCAGCTCCCGATGTTTGTGGCAGGGCCTAAAGCACTTGCACCATCATCGGCCGCTTTCCTAAATGCTTTCTCAGTGAGCTGGATAAAAAGTAGAGCACTGGAGACCCAATGCAGTCTCATACAGGGCGCAGGCACAGCAGGCACTGGGTTGCTAGGCTGTGCTACAGTGCTGGCCTCTGAGTGAGCGAGTGAGCGAGGAGTTCCAGAATTTTAAAAGCCTGATAGGATTTTTGGACGGGGCAGCAAGGAGCCTTGGGCTGCTCAGATCGTAGGTCGGATTGCCAAATAAAATACAGAGCGCCCAGGGAAATTTGGATTTAGACAAAAGGATGTCCCGAATACGGCTACATTACACCCACAAACTTAATTACCGTGTGTCTGACATTTAGCTTGCTGGGCATAGTGCAGTTTTATTTGTTAAATCCTATACCTGGGTGGAAGAATGGGGCATGGTTATGGCAGTCACAAGATTTTGAGTTTTGCTAAGAAGGCGGTGGAGGAGAAAGAAGAAAAAGAAACCCAATATTAGAAGTGAAATCCATTAGTGAAGTTCTCTCTCCTTTGACTGTGTATGTCTCTCTCTGTGTGTGTGTGTATGTCTGTGTGTGTGTGTGTGTGTGTGTGAGAGAGAGAGAGAGAGAGAGAAGGAGAGGAGAGACAGAGGGAGAGAGAGGAAAGCGTATACAAATACATACATCTTTGTGCATTCTAGGATTATTGAGGAAAAACTGTTGAAACTGAATAAAAAACACGGAGCCAATTAAAAACTGCAAAAATGTGCTCAGTTGAAAAATAACGTCAGTATCACATTTATGGAAATATTGCATTTATGTAAAGGGGCTACCATTAATTAATTCCCAATCAGCCACTCAGTCTGATCCCAATGCTGTTTGTTCCCCAAACCATAAAATATTACCAAGCAATCAAGATCCAGAGAGAGGAAGTGACCAAGCGAGGATCCTGCCATCATGAAAATGAATAAGAGAACAGTATTTTCTGAGGGCTTCCTAAGGCCTGGCATTGTTCTAAAGGGGAATCTTCTTGCATTATAGCCTTTCAGCCCCACAATTAACCTTCATCATTCACAAGAAGCAAAGTGAGGCAGAGAACCTCCTCCTAAGGTTCAAGGCCACACCAGCCAACAAGCAGAAGTGACTGCTAAAATCCTCGCCAGCCTGGCCCAAGACACCAACCCCCTTGCCACCCGGTGCTAAGTCAAATTGTTTGTATCATTAAACATATTCATATACACAAGCTTTCGGAGCGCACTGCCCCTGGAGCGTGTCTCTATGCTTAATCACAAGCTCATAAGAGCTTACAGAGATGTACGCTCAGGTCAGAGTGAAAGCTGTTATCTGCTGGCTTCTAGATAGTTTCATGACATTTATCTGGGGAAGTATTTTTAATAAGATACGCCAGGCCCAGAATCTATGATGGAAGCAAATACAATGAGATAGAAACCACCTTCTGAGCCAACAGTTGGGGGGCAGGGAGTGGGGTCACTCGGGAAAGAAAAGAAAAGAACAAGAGGGAATTGAGACAGAAACTGAAATGAAGTAGAGACATTGCAAAATTCACTGTCCGGCCCAAAACATGCTAAGTTGTCTTAGAGAGAGCTTCACTTGGCCACTGCTAGCCGGATGCACATCCCGTGTGTTTCTCATGGGCTCTTTGCTCAGAAACAACAGTTGCCATCCTCAACTTCACACTTGGCTGAGCTCCCTGGGCTACTTGCTTCCCTCCCCTCCTCTGTCATTCAAGACGTTATCAACCCTTGATTGGAGACGCCCAAGCAGCAGGCTCCGGCTTCCCTGGCTATCAGACGTGGAAGATTAAGCCTGCCTGCTCCTGGGCCGATAACAGATTTTCCCACAGCTATCCTTCTTTATGACACAAAAGCCTGTACCAACCTAAAGAAAAAAAAAAAAAAACTGAAGGAGGGGTGCGGGGAGAGGTGGTGGAAGGAAGACTGAAACTCTCTAAAAGCACCAAGATCTGGACCCCAGAACTCCACAAAGATGCTACGATAAGGATGGGCAGCTTTGCAAAACAAAAAGCATGAAGAAAGAATTCTCTTTTCTATTCGGCGCCCTTCGGTGGATGGAGAAGTCTGTTTTGCAGGCTCCCTCTTCAAGCACACCACCAAGTCCGTGGCATCCAAGCCAGCCCCTCCCTCCTCTTCCCCTCCCCCCGGACCTCCACAATAACTGGACAAGGGAGCTTTGGAAGTGCACAGAGTTTCTTGCATAAAACAATGCTACATCTACTCTGCTTCAGAAAGGTGGCAGCATTGCCTTGTGCTCCTCAGCAAGTTCCCAAGCGGCAGTGAGGTGTCCAGCTGATTCACAGACCGACAGCCAGCGGGCCTCTCTTCATCATGGAAAGGAAGAACAGCATCCCCGGTCAATTTCTGTCCGCTGCCAGTCTCGCCCCTGGGAGCTTTGGGGACACGGAGGCTCATGGCTTCATCATAAATTCTTAGGTTTTTAACGTGCTTCAACAGGGCAGGTCGTAAGGAATCTCCAGGGAGAATCCCTTAGCCATCTAAACCCAGGTGCATGTAAAGAAGTTAAGGCTGAAATTTGCCTCCCCACGTTCACCTCTTGAACCATCTAATCCCCCTGCTGTAATCCAGTGGTCCCATGGAGAAGGGTTAACGAAGCTCAGCCTAGCTCAAGTTGGCAACATCCAACACTTGCTAAGTCAAACATTCAGATGACGGTACTCCTAACAGCCACGGGCTTTCTGACCGAGAGTCCTGTCATGACAGAGCAGGCTGTCGCCCCTGTGATGAAACCAAGGGAACACACAGAGGCCCTGAAATACAGTGTCAGAAGTCAGGTTTCTCCCAGTCTGAACTGGGGCCTCCCCACACTGGCACCTTCCGCGCGCACCTGTTCAAAGCCATTCCAGTTCCCATCCATCCGTCCCACTCACCTTCAACCAGCCAGCGTCCTCTGAGACGTCTCTCTATGTGCCACCGACAGATCTTTGGGAGAAACTTTCTCCATTTATAAATATCAGATGGTTTGGGAAAAAATAGTTGTGGCACTGGGCTTTTTCTTTTTCTTTCCTACAAGTGATGTCATTTTGAATACTTAGTGTGCTCCAAATCTGCTATTTTTACTTCCCCCGAGTGACTTTTTCTTTGGAAAATAGATTTGTTTGGATTAGCTACATTTTTCAGTGACCCTTGCACCCTAATACGCCTCATCAGGTTCATCTTCTCAATCGTTAACACTGATAGAAGCCGCTCCCCAGCTGGAAAGTTCTTACGTGTTCCATACACAATTTGGAGGTACCCCCTCCAAAAAAAAAAGTCTCTATTCACAGATATAGAGAAAATATAAATAGGGAATGGCCTAGTCGCCAGTGAAAATCACACTCAACAACTCAAAGCATTGAGAATAGAACGCGTTCAAGTCAACCGCTACCCTCACCCCCGCCAAGTCAAACAACGGTCTTGACTTCCAAACAACATAAAGTATTTTGGGGTTAGGGGGTTAGAGGGTGTGTGAGTGGAGGTAGGAAAGATAGATGGTACATAGCGGAGAATCACAGAGGCGGGAAGCTGAACCGAGAACTCCAATGCCTTCGCCCTACCTGATCGGAACTTTCTTCGGATCAGCAAGGAATGCTCCGAGCCCAGGAGTGTCATGTTGAGCCTCAGCGGGTCGCCGGTCCCTGTGCCAGACGACCCCTCCTTTCCACCTGGGAAAGGCCCCCGGGAGCCCAGCTGACCGCAGCTAACCCCCCAGCACTCATTCAAGAGTCCTGCGAGCTCCCCGGGGCCGGGCGGGCAGCGCGTACAGTGGCAGCCAGTGTCCCCAGAAAACTGGCGCCTCCCCCCTGCCGCTGCGCGGGCCTAATTATCTCTTAGCCGGCAGGACCCTCCTCCTCCTCCTCCCTCCTCCTCGGAGGTTGGCCAGGAGCAGCGGCATCGCAGGCGTTCCTGGCTGATGTCATAGGCTGCCGCGCGACTCCGAGGATCACCGCCACGCCTTTATGAAGGTCCCAAGTTTGTTATCTGATACTTTTACTACTGACAGGCGCTTGGCCAATCAGGAGCGTCGAGCGAGGGGCCTGGAACCTGCGGCCGCCAGGAGAGAGTCCCAGGCCGCTACGCGCTGAGCGCCGGACAGCCCGGCTTTCACTTAACTCTTTGCAGCGGGCAGCAGGCAGGGGCGCACCCATCGCAGAGGCAGAGCCCTGGGGTGCGGATGTCCAGGCGCCAGCAGAGCTTAAGGAGGTGACGTTGGAGGAAGGAAAAGCCGGAGGCATCGCGGGCGGCGGCGCGGTGGGACGAGCAGGTGGTGCGCGGCGCTGCGGCGGGGAAGCTCCAGCCCCGGGTGTCCCCGTGCAGCCAGACAGCGCGCGCCCGCTGGAAAGGCTGCGGGAAGGACTGGTGGGCTGCGCTCCTGCTGGGGCGCTTCTAACCCCAGCAGCACCCCAGCGGAGCAGAGTCCTCGCTATAGATGTTTGTCTTCGGCGCAAGGGGCTAGGTGCGCCAAAAGACAGAAACGGCTACACAAAGGGATCTGACCAACTTGGTGCAAAATGCGATCCAATGTTCAGTGGATTCGGGTTCCCCCAAAGCCTTGCAGTCCTAGCATCCTTTTGCATAGCCCGCATGTTCCGTAAACTTTTTTGAAGACCCTTATAGCTCCGTTGGGTACATTTGCTTGAAGAGAAAATGGAGATTTGTTGTTGTTAGTTTGTGGGGTTTTTGTTTTTTGTTTTGTTTTAGCTCGGGAGTTAGCCTCTCTCTCTCTCTCTCTCTCTCTCTCTCTCTCTCTCTCTCTCTCTCTCTCTCTCTCTCTCTCTCTCTCTCACACACACACACACACACACACATACACCCCGCACAAATCTGAGTCACTGTCTGGAGAAGCAGTTGCTGAGACACAGTGCCCTGAACTGTCCCCTGGGGAAAGTGGCTGGGAAGAGCCAGAAGTTAAATGCTCTATGGGGCCTGGTAAGGGCTCAGTTGCAGTTTTTTTCCTGCCCACCAGTCCTTTCTTAAGGGAAAATCCGTTCTGTGTTTCAGTTGGACTTAGTGCACAGCTCCTGCTCCAGGTGTTACCAGCCCTTCAGGAAAATCAAAGACCCTGCTCTCAAGGAGCTGGCTTGAAAAAAATTTATTGTATTTATTGGAAAGGCAGAATGACAGACAGTGAGGGAAAAACAAAGTAGAAGATTTTCCATTCTCAGTGCACTCCCCAAACGACCCCAATGGATGGAAGACAGTAGCCTGGGACTCTATCCTGGTCTCCCCTGTGGGTGGCAACAGGGCCCCAAGTACTGCATCTCCAGGTGCGTTAGAGCTGGGAGCTCAATCAGAAGTGTAGCAGGGCAGTCTCCATCCAATCATGACCCCAGTAAGGGACACCAGTGTTGCAGATGGCAGCTTAACCCCTGTGTCACAATGACAGTACTAAGGAGCTAGCTTAATAGTTGGCAGCACATGGGGGCCCAGCAAGGTGGTTTATCCTGCAGCTATGGTGCTGGCATCCCTTTTGGGCCCTGGTTCATGTCTTGGCTGACCTACTTCCAATCCAGCTTCCTGCTAATGGAACTGGGAAAGCAGTGGAGGATGGTCCAATGCTTAGGATCCCTGAACCCACAGCAAAGATCTGGAAGAACCTCTTGGCTTCTGGTTTCAGACTGGGCCAGCTTTAGCCATTGCAGCTATTTGGGTAATCCACCAGCAGATGGAAGTATCTCTTTCTTGATTTCTCTCTCTAATTGCCTTCAATGTAAAAATAAATCAATCTTTTAAAAAAAAGTTGGTGACACAGAAAAAATAAAAACCAAGCTCATCCATGAATAGGGGCCACACATGCAGTCTATTGCATTTTTCTATATACCTGCCTATGGTCCAGAGTTCTGAACCCTTTGAAATACCCGATAGTGACAGACAGTCCTGTTGCATCAACAGGTCCCTGGGACAGCTTCTTATGCCCCAAGTCCAAGTCTATTCTCCCAGTCTCTGTTGTTGAAGACAGTGGGGTTGTCAGTCCTTAAGTCCTGCCTATGAATCTCAAGGGTCGTTTGCATATGGGTGGACTTCAGGCATAGACAATATAGTTCTACATGTGTCGAAGAGGGGACAGGGAGACCTCACCCTCACTTCTCTTGGGATTGGTGTCCAAGCGGTGGGGACCTGCTTGCAAGGGTGGACAAGCATCTCTCTCATTGTGTTGTACTGCCATACACAATGTGCACCTGCTTCTTCTGTCCCCAGTACCCACACAATGAGTGACTTGAATGTGGCTCTGGAGGCGAGGGGTCTGGAAGGGTTCTTCCTGGGTTAGACTCAAAATGTGTATAGGGTTGGGCTCCTTCCTGGAGGCTCGACGGGGGAGATCTGTTTCCCTGCCCTTCCCAGCTTCTACAGGCTGTAAGAACCTGCCTGATGGTTCCTCCCTGCAGCTAGAGACACCAGCGGCGGCTCCAGTTCTTATCCTATCTTGTCTCTCCAACAGCCCCATCTCGCCTTCCACATTTATCTTCCATGCTAAATCTACGTCAGGACAGATTCTATAGATCAATTGATGATAGACCTTAATTTCACCTGCTATCTTCACACCCCTTTGGCATATGATGTTACATATTCAGAAGTCTGCCAATGTGGCAAAGGTGAGGGGGTACTAACTGCCGGCCACACAGAGGCTTGTCCTCAGCCCGGTCCCAGCCTCCTGGTCTCCAATGAAAAGAGGTCAAGTGGAGGGAGGTGTGGGAATGGGAATATTCCCAGGAGACAGAAGGCACTGGTGCAGGGGAGAGAGATAGGCGGGATGGAGAGTAGGGCAAGAATTCCCAGAGTGGAGAAAAACAACTGTGAATGACACTTTGAAGGGAAAACAGAAAGTGACGTGGGTTTTTCTCCCGAGGGCTTTGGGACTGAGACGAGATCCCTAGCAACTTGGCAGAGGAGGGTGAACCTTTTCAACCGAATGTTGTGATGAAATCAGCTGCAGCCGAATGAAAGGGTCTGCCTGACCTGGAGGCATAGGGCAGGACTAAGCTGTTTTCCCTCTGTGGGCTGGGAGATTCTCTCTTTCTGTGTGTGTGTGTGTGTGTGTGTGTGTGTGTGTGTGTGTGTGTGTGTTTTGAGGTAGTGGAGCTTTTTTTTTTTTTTCTTTTCTTTTGAGTCAGTTGGGGAAATGTTGCTAACTACACCTCTCCCTCAATTTTCCCATCGCAGTTTGGAGCTATCAGCATCTGCCCTGGAATTCACACACCTGATGCCTTGGACTCTCCGATAGCTGTCGCTCTGTTTCTGTAGAAGATCATCTGTAGTCACTCCCTGCTCAAGTTATTTTCTGTGAACTTTGTCGTTTTTCTTTCCAGTGTAATCTGGAAGAGTTGCTTCGCGTCGCTACGTTTTGGCAGAAACGGACGAATTCATTCCAAAATGCCACTGACCTTTGTCCTGAATATGGATGACCTCACAACTCGTTGCCTAAAAGCTTGCGCCTGGACTGAGCTTGCGAAGTGATGGAGAGAGGCACAGGGGTGAGTTCCGAGAATCCTCTGAGACTCGCAGCCTCCTATCTGTGATGCGGCGCTAGAAAGACTCTCAGGACTTGGAATCTTCAAAGGAAATGATACATACAGTGTCCAGAACAATTCTCTCTCTGTCACATGTGAGGGACTCTGCTTTTACTTCCCCTTCCTCAACCGCTTGCAACCACCCGTGCTAATGCAAAGCAACCCTGCATCTGCGCTGTGTCGTGATATTCTTCATTTTATCTTAAGTTATCTATGGCCGTGTAACAAATTACAGTGATGAGCAGGCTTGTCATGTTTGGCCCACAATGGACCACACGGGAAAGTGATGCTCTTGTCTGCTCTCTCCTTTTGGTTTTCGCGTGTCTGATGCATAAGCAGCTTGAGGCAGCATTCGTTCCTCCTTCACTCGTTTATTGCCAAAGTGTGTAGGGAGCTGTGCAAGTCACAAGTGCCTTGTAGTCAGGCAGTGTTAGAGACGAGTTTGCAAAGCCAAGTGGACTGATAAGGGAAATGTAGGAGGGAGGCAGTCAGACACACCAAACTGGACAGCAGATGCCTGATCCAAGTGAGGCAGCATGACCCAACTTTAGCTGATGGTAGCCATGTGGGAGGGAGCACAGATCCTTATTGCCACATCCTGCAGTTGAGCAAAGACATTGGAAATTCAGGTTGTAATGTTAAACTACTGTTTTTCTATGACATGTATTTATAAATTAATTCAAGAGACATAGCAACACATAGATAGGGACACACACACACACGGTGGGGGGATGGATTGATCTTTTATTAGTTGGCTCTTTCCCAAATGCTCACAATTACCAAATTTTGGCCAGCGTGAAACTGGGAGCCAGGGATTCCATCTCAATCTCCCACGTGGATATCAGGGACCAATGTACTTGGACATTGTCTGTTGTCTACCCAGGGACACGAGCAGTAGTAGATGAGAAGTACAGTAGCCAATACATGAAGTGACATTCTGAGATGGAACACTGCCATTGCAAGCAGTAGTTTAACCTACTAAACCACACACACACACACACAAAACCCTGAACGTGCTAGCTGCATAAATTGTGAACATGCACTAGTAATAATAGATAAATGTTTTAAAGCACAGTCAGTCAACCAGGGGTCAGATCCCTGCCACAGGACTCAAGCCCTTCGACAAACAACTGCAAAATTATAGGTATGCCTAGTGTAAGCGCAATGTTTACCTAGAACAAGAAATGATATCAAAACCAGCTGCATGCTGGGAAGTGGGGGAAGGCAGGCTTGGTCAGGGCCTTTATTCCAAGATGCATTGGTCAATGGGCCAGACA